ACCCGGTAAAAAACCAATAATCAACTCGTTAAATTTTTGTTTAATAATTTTTATGTTAATATACATATCCATGAATGAATCAGATTAGTTATCGACTAGAGTTTTGTAACTATGCTTTCATTTTCGAAGTGGTAACATTTTTGTCGGCAAGATTTGTTGTGTGTTGCATTATACTCCAATTGATGGATCTTTTCACATTAATTTCTTGCGGTTCCAATTAATGGCTTTCACTTGCTCAATTAATATGTAACAACAACATCAATATAACTTCTTCTTCTTCTTTTTTTGGATAATTATGGATATTCAATGCTCAATTAATTTCTCAAAGCACTAAAATTAAAGAAAATACAAGTTTATAATAATTTTGAGGTTTGTGACATTGAAGGGGAATTTTTATGGAATTAATTATAATTAAGTAATTGAGTCAAGTTTTATTTTCTACAATATTTATTTTTATTCAAAAAATTGGTTTTGCTAAAAGAGTTACCAATAGAGTTTGATCAACTATTTTAACGATTTTAAAGGTTTTAAAAAAAAAAACGGTTTATGAATCAGAATACAATGTTTTCTTTTGTAGTTTGTGCCTTGGGCCCAGTTTAATAAAAAAAAAAAACAGAATACAATGTTTTATTTCAGGTGTAGAATTTCTTTTAATAATTGTAGATTTTAATTTTAGGTTCAATTATTATTAGTATTTGTAGGAAAACTAACAAAAATTGGTCTATGTTTTACGTGAAGGATTTTTCTATATATGTATATGTTTTTTTTTTAATATACATTTGTATGGTAACCTATTTTAGTGATGATTGCATCGTGATTATAGTTATTTTAAAATATATTTTTTGTGTCAAAAATTTTTTTAATGCATCACTTTTATTTTATTTTGGTTTACTGGTAACTTAATTATTTATTCCTTTGACTTGCTTTTAAGCTTAATTCTCTTCAATTAGCACAATTTCATTTTTGTAATTTTAGTACTATATATTTATTAGGCTTACTTGTAACATAATTATTTGGGATATCATATTTGTTTGGGGATACTTTACATGAGCGGAATCTATTTACAATTCTGTAGATATTTGAACTAAACCCCTAATGATCTAGGTTAATTTAGCCAAAAAAATAAAATTGAAAAAGAATATTTACAATTCTATAGATATTTGAACTAAACCCCTAATGATCTAGGTTAATTTAGCCAAAAAAATAAAATTGAAAAAGAACAAAGTAAAACTTGGTTTGATTAGTGATTTAGATAACCCGAACTTGATCTAATAAAGTCACGTCATTAAACTACTGATTTTTTTTATTTTTTTTATCAAAAAAAGGTAAACTACTGATTTTTTTTATTTTTTTTATTAAGAGAAGGTTTTTTTTGTTTTTATTTAGAAGAAAAATCTAGATTCATCTTAGTTAACTTAAATTTATTCTTGAGTTGGATTTTAAAACTATAAATAATAGTTTAATTAGCTAAATTGATGACCAACATTTTTATGTTTTTATGTTAAACAAGCATTAATTTTGCTAATTTCAAACAATATAAGAAATTAATGATGATGTAACAAAGAGTAAATTTTTGGACTTCTCTAGAAATAGAAAGCTCTCCCCGCCGTAGTTTTTAAACTCGATGTAATTCAATGATGATGTTACAAACTATCTGATATAATAAATTAAAATTAAATTTTAGACCAACAACATAAATTTAATTTAATATTTAAAATACAAACTAAATATAAATTTTAAAATTTTTAAAATAAATTATTAAAAAACATAAATTCTGAATCAAAACTATATTTATTTTTTTGTTAAATAAATGCATTAAGTTCTTAAATATCCATAGAAACAAAATTTAAATGAAATATTAATGGAATAGAGACAGTCTCATCAACGCATAATAAAACATCATTATGCTCATTTGTAATTTCATCATCACAATTATCTTCAATCTTATTAATATTTATAAAATCTATGTTTAAAAAACAATTAACAAATAAATATTACATGTTAAAAAATATTTTATTTTAAATAATATTTTAGATTAAAGTATCAATCATTAATTGCCATTATCTATAATATCATTGTTATCTGTTGCATTTGATGAAAAAATTCACTATAGAAAAGGAAATACATCGTATAGCTTCTACTTATTTTGCTATTAGTTTCATTGCATTGCAAAGCATTTTAACTAATAAGGATGAGCTCAGAGCTATGGTGACTTCTAAAAAATGAGTCTCCTTTGCTTATGCTAAATATAACAAAGAAAAAAAGTTTATTAGCTCAGTGTATTTTAAAAAGAATATGCAATAATTATGTAAATGGCTAGATCTTTAACTTGTAGTTGATGGTGATAATAGACCTTCAATGAGATATTTACTTGATATTATTCATTTTATAAATAAAGAAATGTTAAAGGGATTTCAAAAAAGAAAGGCTAGAGTGCAACATTTCATCAACATTATCAATAATCGGTGAGATAAACAACTATATAAAAATTGTTATATGGTAATATTTTGGTTAAATTCTCGATTTTAACATGATGCAAATATAATGAATAAATATATAAGCACAATTTCTAGATTTCTAGATATTCTTGAGAAATATGCATAAGTAATATGAAGCTGTGTAGGAATGCAAGTATATTATTTTTATATTTAAAAATATTTTTTGACATAGTCATACTTATTAATTTTGTATATAGATTAATGGATGACATATGGAAATAGTGCTCTAAATCCATAATATTTGACTATACGAGTATTAAGCCAAACTTGTAATTTTTCGAGATACGAGAGAAATTAGAATACTTTTTTATTAACATATTCACTCTAAGAAAAGAAATAAAATGGAGCACGAAAAACTTAATGATCTTGTTTAGATCGATTACAATCTAAAATTGAAATAAAAGTATTTTATTTCCTTTAATTTATTAAATATTATTTTATCTTATACAATAGCATAACTAATATTTATATTGTGTTTACCTTTACTTTGTAACTAATATTTATATTGTGTTTACCTTTATTTTGAATATGTAGGAATTATTGAAAAGGATAAAATTATAATCTAAATAATTTTGAGATAATTTGTAACATTAAAAATTAAGCAATAAAAAATAACCTGTCAATTTTAATAATTAAAGAAGTAAAGAGTCTTGGTCATGCTCTATTAGCAATAATCATACAAGATATTTTAGATGATAATAATTAATGATTAATATTTTAGTAGAAAATATTATTTAAAACAAAATATTACTTAACATTTAATATATATTGGTTAAATATAGATTTCATTAATATTAATAAAATTAAAGATGATTGTGTACAGATATCCCAATTGATAAGGCTGCTGATGCATTTAAAAATAAAGGACTGAATGCTACAGACATGGTTTATCTTCCTTGTATGTGATCAATGTTTCCATTTCCTAAATTCTGGTTACTTTCTTTCCTTCAAGCATGTTAAAATAACTTCTGATCGATATGACATTTCCAAACTCCTTCCATTTCTAATTTCATCCTTTGGATCTTTTGAAGATGTATAGGAGGTGGTCACACTGTTGGGATAGCACCTTGTGTTGCATTCGAAAATCCTCTTTATGATTTCCAGGACACCGGCAAACTTGACCCAACCATGAATACAACATTACTGAAAACCCTACAAACTCTTTGTCCACGAGATTCTGGCAGTAGCAAGGCAGCTAATCTCCTCCAGAATCCTCGTGGTTCTTCTGTAGTTGGCAAATCTTACTACGAGCAGATACGGTAAGGTAACAGGCTTCTCAGAGTTGATCAGCTACTGACATTGGACCCAAATAACACATTCAAAGTTGATCAGTTAAGTTGGGAGCTGTTGAAGTCAAGACTGGCAACCAAGGGGAGATCAGGAAAAAATGGAGAGCTGTTAATCCTTCCCAATTGAAATTCTGGTGGAAATTTCTGTGCTCTTGTGCTAACTGAAGGAAGCAGGCAGCAAAACTATTTTCGTAGACTGGCTCAGTTTTGTGCAATTAGAATTGCTTTCAGATTCTGAAACTAAATATTGTCATATAATTGATGATAATAATTCAGTTCCAATCATATGATTACAACTAAAATTGCATTTAATAAAAACACATCTGCTTTATTAGCCAAAAACCAAGATGAAATGAAACATTAAGATTTCAAATCTACTTCTAAATGGCTTGTAGGCAATGAATCTTGGCGTCCCATTGGAAAAGATGAATAGTGTCAACAGAAGGTAAAGGGGAACTTCAGTTTAAGCCTTGGCTGCAAGGCCTGTCTTGATCTTCTGGATAGTGGGAACATCAGTTTTGAATGCCTTGGCAAGGACCATACCATCAATTCCATTGGCAAGGACAGAGGTAGGAACCGAGATGGTTCCAGCATTTGCTCTACGAAATGAAGAGATAGAGATGGCAGGTTCTTGATGTCAGCATTGTATTGAAAATGAACAAGTCCCTCCGGGAACATGAAAGTGTCGCCAATTGAAAGCGTTTGAGTGAAAAGTCTGTTTGTGGTGTCAATAAAACCAACCTCAAGAATCAACAAGAAAAAGAAGTTCAATGGAATGGGGGTGACACCGCGGATTCCAGAAAAAGTGAAAAGGTCTGCATCAGGAATTGAGTTTTCAGGGACAGGGAAGTCTGATACAATGTCAGGATCGCTTGCTTGAACCATCCAAGAAGTGGACAAAGCAACTAAAAGAAAGGGCAGGTTTTTTTTTTTAGCAAAGATGAGACCATTGTGGGATTACCTGTATTCTGGATTTGAGAAAGAATTGCAGTGGCACAGGAGAAGGTTTTTGGTGTCTTTATTTACTTCAAACCTCTATCTATATTGGTCATGAGGCCAATTTAGGAATCTAGCGATGGCCTGCAGCCAGAAGGGTAATGTTCTCTTCAATGCTTGTACGTCCTCATCTTTTTAATCAAATTATCTGACCGTTGTAGCCCTACCCTCTTCACATCAAGTTCTTCAGTATGGCCTCAGCTACACCCACCATTAAATTCTTCTCATTGCTAAGTAGCCTCATTTGCCTTCGTCCAGATGGCTATGGCTGGAGACCCAGATATTGTTTCTGATTTCTTAGCCCCACTAAATGCAACCAAAGCTGGTGGAACAGTCTTCACGTTCACTGTCGGTGCACCGCCACCTACAGCATTCACGGTCTCGAAAGTTTAGTGCAGCTGAATTCCCTGCTCTTATCGGGCAAAGTGTTTCGTGTGCAGTGCTTCAATTCCCAGCTGGCACTACTAATCCACCTCACACTCATCCTCGCTCAACTGAGGTCCTTTTCCTTGTTGATGACTCTCTTCAAGGAGAATTCGTTGACACACTACAGGGTGATGGCATGTTCACTTCCATAAGGGGCTTGTTCACTTCCAATACAGGGTCGATGCTCAAGAACCAGCTTTAGCAATTCTGCCTTCGTGAGTACTAGTGCGGGGACCGTATCAATTCCCACCACCCTTTTCGCCGCTGGCATTGATGATAACATCTTGGCTAAGGCCTTCAAGACTGGTGTTGCCACCATTCTAGCTTCAAGGTCTGGTCTTGCACCCACACCTTGAGGATAGACTTCATTAATAGCTACCACCATTTCTTCTTGTTCGTTGGTGATCTTCTGCCATCTTTAACTTTCCTCCTTTTACATTTTTTTTTTCCGTTTTTATGAGTTTTATTAAATAATCGCCTCTAGGGGGCATATTTATCTTTACTTGTTTTATATTGGTAATAATTATTCTCTCCATAATCCATCAGTGAACCTTCAGGGGAAAGGTTTGACGTTTGTATATTCCGAATCAACCGAAAGACATCATGATGCACATAAGGATACACAAAATAAACCAGAGCATTTATGTTGTCTAAAGCCACCCATGCTAAATCAAGAAAGGAATAGAGCTCTAAAAGGTTTATGATAATTTCTGAACCTAAGATAGTAGCTGCATTGTATTCTAATAATCTCGTCAGACTGCATGAACAAAGTGAGATAACTTGTGGGCTAGAAGCTCTTGATCTGATGGCAGAGGCCGTCTAATGTTTCCTAGGTTTTACCATTTGCTACAAACAAAGCGTACAGACGGCTAGTCCGAGAACAAACTTACATCAACCCAAAATTGATCATGACAGGACACTTTCTGAATGGTTAACCGCAAGGGAATAACCAGTGCCGGTGAGATTCAGGTGGAATGCTTGGTGCAAAGGCTAATAGTCAAGAGAATGAAACACCAGATTCAAAAATAATGTAACGAGGGATGACTTATAGATAATTTTCAGCAAATGACTATCTTTGCAATGGCATGTAAAAAAAAATATTACTTCAATACAGGTAACGACCTCATTTAGAACATCAAAGTCACAAGCAAAACTCCATCATATCTTTATGTTTCTACAAAGCTTAAATATAAATTCAAAGTCAACAACTCCTGATAGGATAATAAAAACTACAAAAACATCCCGGATTGAAAAGAACCGTCACCAAGCAATCAAAGCACCACCACCCATAATGGAACTGCTATGATGGGAGACAGCTTACAGCCTTCTACCCCTTCTTCCACCCTTTCTGCGGGTGCTGTCAGTAGGTATTGGTGTAACGTCCTCTGAAAACAAACAAGACATCAACAAAATAAAATAAAAATGAAATTTACCGCCAGTGGAGGAAGATTCAGACAGATGCTTTTCCAGTTCAATTACTGAATGAGCTAAATACTTGTAACTCAAAACACAGAACACAAACAATTCACATTTGTTAGAAGTCATGTAACAATTTTAAAATGTCAAGCTCCAGAAACCTTGCAGTGTTCAACAGAAAACACAAAATAGTGCACCGAAGCTTGAAGCTTAATCCTCAATCATCCCCAACAGTTCAAATCAAGTAACACCCACATCTTAAACTCTTTTTAGAAATTAATTTCAATCAATAGTTTTAGAACTTAATTTCTAATCAATATCTTACCAATGCGCCAAATTTTCAACCCAGACCGAGCCAATGCCCTCAGAGC